CCCCAAAACCCCAAAACCCCAAAACCCCATTTGTCAATATTTGTTAAATCTGGGATTAATAATAAAATTCAAAATGAGTCAATAACAGCATAATTCAAATAACATTAACAATTTATCCTCACTTTCCACTTCTAATGATGGTAGATTAATAAAATAACATGAAATATAGAGTAATTCTCATATGGAATGAAGATTGTTTAAGCAGCCTTTGAATCCAAGTCAAAAGACTATGAGTAATAGATATCTGAGTTAAAGATCCATCTTACTGAGAGAAACGATTACATAAAAAGGCTTGAAAAGAGAAATGCATAATTAGAGAAATAGGTGATAGATCAGATGAATGCAATTCAGGAATAGCAAACTCAGATAAAGTTCAGGGATAGATAGATTTAGGAACTAGAATCAAAATATGAGAGTCTTGAAAAGATAAGAAAAGACATTATTAATACAGTCTCATAGCATGGCTCAGGCGGCAATTCACTTGTAGTCAATCAGCATTCTCCACTAATCAAAGAGAATTATTAGACAAACAACAAGACTCTGAAACCAACTTAAAACAATATATTGATCTAGAACAGTTAGACTTTTGCTAATAATCTTGGCAAGTTCATTAATCAGGACGATCTTATGAACTTTAAGAGTCTCTCACCAGAGAATACAGCAAACATTACCAATAACAATTTCTTAAGTCAACAGCAGCATATCCAAAATTTCTAAAAACTTAATTAAAATTAAACTCAAAAAGAAAGTAGCTGCTTAGACTACCCCTTAATCAAATAAAATCTGAATACTATAGAAATGAAAGAGAATAAAAACGAAAGATTAAGCCACTACTAAAATAATGGCCCTATTGCTTAGAGCCAGTCATCTTCTGAAAGTAAAATATTCTTTAAAAATGTCAAAGCTAGACTGTCAGAGGAGAAATTTAATGAGTTTCTACTTAATGTCAAACGTTTAAATGGCAAAGTCCAGTCTAAGGCCCAAACTCTAATAAATATCGCTAAGCTCTTTGGGAAAGAAAATGATGATCTATTTAAGAACTTTGAGCATATAATTTGCCCATCCACCTAAAGTCAATGAAAAAAATTATAATTTTCCTTTTGCTAATTAATATTTTATTTTATTTATATTTTTATATTTGATTTAATAGCTTTTGTGGGGTTTTGGGGTTTTGGGGTTTTGGGG